AAAAAAAAACTATATTCAAAACTAGCCTTTAACTTTATTAAGGTTCAGCAAAGAATTTTATATCATACTAACATTTTTCTGTTAACATTTGCCACTGATTGGCTGAATTAGTGAAAGAAGAAGAAGAGATACACATGCCTGAAAAATGTAAACAATGCTTGTTAAATAGACAAAGAAATTTTTTAGTAATATTGCAAAATCATGCAAAATTAAATTAGATGGTGAAATTCAACTCATTTCGTTTTGGCTTGTTGACTTACAAGGCCGTGCACTTAAAATGTCTAAAGTAGACGTTGTTATTACACGGGTTCGTGCCCGTTTGCAAGAGTTGGGTATAAAATTATGGCTAGAACCCTATTATTTGAAATCATCGGGATCAGTCGAAACAGAAATTGTTGTAGGTACACTGGTAGCTCCGAAAAAAAAAAATATTTATTTTTGAATGCTTTTCAGAATTTGGCAGAGGACTTCAGCCATAATCTCGGAATTTCCAAATCAGATTGTAAATTAGCTCTTTCAGAACTACAAGAGGGAGCTTTGAGAAAATTAAAAGCGCGGGAAGAGTTTTTGGCTACAGGTGAATTGGAAGCTAAGAGTTCGCTTCAATTTGCAATTTATTTTCTATATATGTTACAGGTATTGCCACCTTCACGGTACGACGTATTAATAATTGGCAAGGCACGCAAAGTATCGTGGAAGTCAAGTGTCCCTTATCATTTTTGGGTAGTGAATTACAAAAGAATGTAGCTAAAGCTTTGAATATTGAAAACGCGGCAAGAATCAAATGCATATCTGCTGGAAAAATTGTTAATCCAGAGCAAACTTTAATAGATCAGAATATTAAAAACAATCAACAGTTGATGGTTATCATAAGCGAAGTGGACAAACAAGAACATATGCAAGAAAATGTCATGCACGATCGTATACAAAAGATAAAAAAGGATGTAGAAGCTATTGTCGACTCTAATAAGCAGTTATTTGAGGTAAAATGATAAATTCCAATCATGACAATTCTTTATTTTTCAATTGTCCTCAGCGTAGATGGAAGATCAAGACGGTAATCCTGTATTTTTGCCACCAACTGAAAACCGGGCAATATTAATTGGCATGGGCATTTGTGAGAAAGGTCGCGTAGCCATGAAAAACGAACGTTACGACGAAGCTTTAATATTATTTTTAGAAGCTGATGAAAAATTTACCGCTTGCAATTCGAAATTCTTGGAAGCAGTTGATAATTATGCACTAATTAATTTAGATATTGTTTGGTGTTATTTATGTCTTAAGGTATGCAACGAAATATTTTTACCTTTATATGAAAGATTATATAAGGGTGTTCGTAATATTTTAGAATGTTACCCAGTTACCTGACGCTCAAAGACGATTAGAAATTTGTGAAAATAGTTTTCGTCGGAGTTACGGTGAAAATTTGCAACGCTTGATTACCCTGAAAGGTGATGGTTGTGCCGAAAAAGCTCTTATTATGCGCTTACATTTACTGCAAGGCGTTGTACTTTTCCATCAAAATCGACGCAATGAGGCGCTCGAAAAATTGGACATTGCAGAGAATGAATTACTTGCACTTAAAGTGGACGACACATCGATAGAAACTTTAGTGGAAATGGGTTATGAACCTCATGAGGCACGTTTGGGTTTGCGTGCTCGCGGTGGCGATATAGAACAGGCCATTAATTTCATACATGATCAGCATGAAAAATTGCGGGAGACACGAAAACATTCGCAAAAAGAACGTAAACTCAATCAGAAATTAGACGTAAGAAAACACGATAAGAATTGGGTTAATCCGCGCAGTGTGTGCAGTCTAATGGAAATGGGTTATTCCAGCAAATTAGTGGTGCAGGCTTTACGAGATAGTAGAAATGATTTAAACAAAGCGGTATTTAAAATAATTTAAATGATAGATCAGCAAATTAACTATCTTTTTTTATGTGATTCTTCTGCAGTTGAACTTATTACAAAATCATACTGAAGAATTAAGCCGTAAATTACCTTTAGAAGGTACAATTAACATTGACCTAATGGAACAATTACAGCAATTAGGCTTTAGTGAGTCTCGTGTACGCATTGCTTTGGAAGCGACACGAAATAATCTTGAAAGTGCAATCGATTTTTTAGTTAAAATGTATACCGATGAGAAGGATCTCAGTATGTTTATCGAACGAATGACAGCAGTTGCGACGGACCAAGGCGCTCCCTCAACGTCTACTGGGCTGAATAGTTTAGCGCAACAAATTGTTGAAAAAGCCGCGAAAGAGATTGAATCCCTAAATGCTTATAACCGCTTCAAACAGGATTTCATTGCCAATGACTTTGATTATTTGGATTTGCCATTGATACAAGAAGAGCAAATATTGGCGGAATATAAGCATTTATTAAAATGAATGAATTTTTTTTTTTTTTGTTAATTTTTATGCTTTTGTACATTTCTAAATGATTTTTAACATTATTTTTGCGATAATCAAATGAATTAGGAAATTTATTTTGAAATAACGGTACATTTTAAATAACACCTTATAACAAATAAATCTGTTTAATAGCGACGTAGAAACTGGTCAAGCTTGAATGAATGCTTTAATTTACTGTTTCTTCTCAAATCTTACGTTTTTCGTGCACAACAATGAACATTGAATGAAACTTATGCACACTATCGTTAATTTCATAAATAAATATTAACTTATACAAATACGTTATATACATATATATGCTCTTATGATTACTACTCTTGTTAAATTCGTTAGAATTTATATTAAATGCAAGTATCGATTATATTGTTTTTATACCAGCTTATCAAATAGGCTTTTCAAACGCAACTTATATAACAAATATTGTATTGATCCGCGACTGAGGTCTTATTGCAGGGAATGTTGGAGTATGCTGTCTATGAATAACGTTCCTAGTGCGCAAGATGGTTGTGCTGATAAGACAATTTTCGAAAAAGGTTTTGTGGTTACTGACATTGCCCTTCTCCTTAAACGAAGCAATCCCAACTTGAATCTTTTGAACGCGAATTTTGCATTATATTTTGGATTTTCTTTTAGGGTAAATTATTTTTAAACCTATTTGTCAGCATAACTTTGCAAATTGCATTGTCTAGGTCATTATAAGAAATTTGCTCTGATTTACATTTTTCCTTCCATTCCATTCCAGTTGCATAGGCAATGAACTTTGGTATCTTTCCAATGGTTATTTGTTATTTTCACTGTTTTTCTTTTTTATATTTCAGAATTATAAACATATAAGATTTCATGTAAATAAAGAAATCAAGCATTTACCAAGCCTAGAGCCAAACAACGAAATACTTTTATCGATGCTTTTCTCATTAAAATTCTTACTGGGATACTTGGGAATCTCACTACATTGCAATCCCTGTAACCTATCGTTTTGATCATCCAATATCATAGCGGAATATCGATGAAATGCGATTTTAATTACGGAATAATAAAATGATTTGAGATTTCATTGTATTTCCTTCTTAACTTCAAAGGTTAATGTATTGGGCATGTTTTCATCTAATATCATTATTAATAAGCAGTTTTATCGTTATATAGGAAAACTATAACTATTTTATACAATAATAATTAATAGTAATTTTTTGTTATATAGGAAGATTTTAAAATTTCAATCGAAAGTCACAATTTTAACATAATTGTTAAATTATTTGAAAGTTTGAAATATCACTAAGCTCTTAAGCAAACTTGTTTCGCAAGCATTTCATTCAAGTCCCAAAAATTATTTATATTATATATATATATATATTTTTTTTTTTTTTGTGTTTTTTTCTGGTTTAGAACGTTTCAATTATGCAACGCAAAATATTGCGAAAGGCTTCATAGCAGAGATGGCCAACAAGCTGATTGCGGGTAGAGATTGCGATCAATGCCTGATATTTTCAAGTATTCTACCGTGCAATGTGTGTGTGTGTGTGTGTGTGTGTGTGTGTGTGAAGGGAAATGTAAGCTGTACCATACCATATACTATCATATATCTATATAAAATTTTTACGTAAAAACTCAATACAAAAAAATTCCTGATAGTTGACAAAAGGCCTCAACGTTTTTCCACATTTGATTGTTGTTTTTGTAAAAATATATATTTTGTATACATATATATTTTTGTTGCTTTTTTAAATATGTTCTACAATTAAAACCGAAGAAATCAAAAGCAAGAAAATCTACTTTTTATTCTTTTACGATTACTAGTTAGAATGTATTAACTTTTTAGAAATAGTACAAAGCAAATCAAAAAAAATTCCAGTTACTTAAGTGGTTATATAAAATGAATATAAATATTTGCGATTCAATTCCTGATGTATCTCTCGAAAAATTGTAGCTATGATAAATCATGTTGTGTTTCATATTGATTAGAACTTTGAAATAGGGGGAATGGGGAGAGCATTTGTTTGTAAGTGTACCTCGTACACTTGATTAAAGCCTGTGTTTGAAGTGTTTGGTAACACGTTGTGAGTTAAGTGCCGGTAGTGGTATTTCTCTTTTCCATATTCTGAAAGCGTTGCTTATACTGAACACCATTGCTCGGCATCTAATCGCGAATCTAAACGCTAAGGATCACTTCGAAGAATAAATTTCTCATTTTGCTGTTTAAGCTCTTTTACGTGATACTTGCTTGTACGTAGGTTTCAGCTTGTTCCTCTTGAAGAAAACAAATAATGGAAAGAATTTCTCCTTTGGGGATTTCCCTGCATATGCCGGAAAGCGTCGTTTGATATGCGTGGCTTTCTTTACGCTCATTTAAATCGCTCAATTCTTGTTCTTGTTCCTTCATCGTTTCCCGTCATCTTTAATTCGCATCAGTATTTACGATGCATGTCTGCCTTTTAAGCTTTTGAACTAAGAAGCGTTCTATGCAACTAAATTTTTTTGAGAGAGAAAGAGAGAGAGAAAGAGAGAGAGAGAGAGAGAGCATAGCTTTACATTTTGAAGCATAAATGCCGAAGCTAATTGACTACGACTTGTGTGCGTGAGTTGCGAAGCGAGTATTTCCCAGACGCGAAAGGTAATAAGATGTTAAGCAAAAACATAGCTATCCCTAGCTATATGGCTTCCGGAATTTTCTAACAACTTTTCATTCTTACATCCATAATAAAATCCGCCTGAGGAGCCGAAGGCGAGCAATCTCGACTAGCAAGTCAATGGACGTGGGTTCGAATCTCAAGTGCGGTAGAGTTTTTAATAAAAGCCGATAGCCTTAGATGCTGGTGCTTTTAAGAGTTTTTAGTCTTAGAATTTATTTCTCCGGCGAAATTAATAATAATAATAATAATAATAATAATAATAATGCATCCATAATACAAAAATGAGTTTGATGCGTTGATTACATTCTGGTATCGACTGAAATATGCCTGTTCGTGTACTATCCGATCAGGTTTTTTTATTTTCGAATTTCAAGTCGTAAATAATTCAGATATTTTGATGAAATTTTGTTGCCAGATAGATTTTGCTCTAAAAACAAACGTAGTCTAGCCCCACCCACTTAGGTTCATTTTTGCTCCCCAAAAGATTTTTGTGATAAGTAAATCTTCTAGTTTTGATATTTTCTGGCAAATTACAAAAAAAAAAAAAAAAAATTAAGTTCATCATATAGTTTTTGTGACCTCCCATCTTGCCGCGCTATAAGCTTAGTGTCTGTATGATAAAGAGAATTAATTTTTGGAATTTTATGGTGAAGATCGGGTATACAATAGGCGATCTTATCCACCATTTATACATTTTCACGTGTTTACGTGTTCCGATATTCTGTTAACTGTTGATTTTCATGCAACAAATTTAAGTTTTCAAGTAACAATTCTCATCGATCTTGCGATTTATAAGTTTCAACCGATAATTTCCTGTTTCTTAACTGACAACTTTGAATTTACATTGATCATTTTCGATTTCCAACAGATATGCTTCTAATCTTAAAATAATGATTCCCGAGTAATAGTTAGTAACGTATAGTGCTATCTATCGCCAACTGAGTTAAAAAGTAAAACCTTATTGCAAAAGAAAATGAGCTATTTTTTTAAATAATTGCTAGGCTATAAGGCGGTTAAAATATGGCGATAACTAAGTGTATGCAGGAACGCTTGTGAATCGAATATTGCTCGACTAAGCTAAGTTTGGAGATACAATTTAGGTTCACAGAGCATGCTTGAACATGACAAAAAAAAAAAAAAAAAAAAAGAAGAAGACTATAAATGAAAATTTGGAAATATATTGCATTTAAGAATGTACAATCTGCAAGCATCTGCGCATTCAACTGGGTGCAAAAATTCATCTGCCAGTAAAACGTTCTCAAATTGGGGGGAAAGACTTTTGCTCCGACATGACTTTTGTACATAAGGCGGTGGATTGATGGATGATGATGAAAAGTCATTTCAACTCAAATGGACCGTGCATATTTTGTTACGTAAATAAAAGGCAAGAAGGGAGGAAAGACATTTGCTTGCATTCTAGTTTATCTACACTTCTATCTACATCAACACTAACGCACTGAGTGCAAGAAGAGCGGAGTAACAAAGTTTTTTATTATATCAAAAGTCGGGTTATATGTGTTTTTTTAATCAAAAAACAACTTTTATACCCACTACTGTGTGCTCATATTTTGTTTTTTTTAATTCTATATGTAACACCTAAGAGGAAGCTTCAGAGACCTTAGAAAGTTCGTATATTCTTGGTCAGCGTGAAATGCTGAGTTGATTTAGCCATGTCTGCCCGTCCGTATGTCTGCGTGGTGTGTGCTGTTGGCATTTTCCTGGTCGCAAAAACGAAAATATCGATTTCAAATTTATTAGAAGCATTGAAAGTTTCTTCGGGCTGGTTGGTATTGAAAATGGGCCAAATTGGTCAAAGCAGAAGTATGCAATGGAGTGTAAACTGAATTTTTTCTAAATAATACCAGCGAGATAAGTATCAAATAAAAGAGCTTAGAGAGTAGAATGCAAAAAACATAGTGGCGGGTATGCGAGATAACTTTCCTGCATGTTATTTATGCAACTATCAATTAACAAATGCACATATGTTACAAGGGGGCAAAGTTAGTTTGGCATTAACGATCCAGATGAGATGAAACAGTTCGTAACTAATCATTTCAAGTACAGGTGTATAATTTGAACGATCGTAACAATTTTTCACTATTTCCAACTGAGATCTAAAAAACGCGTTAATCGGGCAACTATCGGCCAATCGTTTATAGAATACTTGGTTTGCCATAGACGGACGGTGCGAATGACACCATAACATATCACTATTTTTTAGTAGTGATCACAATACGTTATGAAGAGATTAAGTCGATCTCTGTTAGACTTTAAAGTTAATTTCGTTTCAAAAACCGAATTTTGCTTTCAATAATTGCTTTTGTGTGGCGATTGCTTAGACAGTTTAGATTTCTTAGTGATGCGACACAAACGTACTCACACAATCTAACTTCTGTCGTCGTCAGTTGTTCGATATTTGGGAATGTAATAATGCTTCACGGTTCAAGGAGGTTGCATGCCCGAGTTTGATAGCTAAAAACTTTTTCTACTCAATTGGAGCGTCTGCACTAAAATTGCATCTTATTCAACGGTTCTTGGACTGTTCTTTTTGTGTTCACACATCCAATCATAAATTTTTGCACAAAATATGTCCGCAACAAGTTTATAGTGACCGTGGCTTTCCAAGTATGTCACGTAGTCAACAAGCATCGCGTCATCGTCAACAGCGTAAAGCCGTCTTTGAGGTCTTTGAAGTGAATCTCCTCAAAATAAGTCCAATTGGTCGCCTGCATAGATCGATTGCTGAAAACGATTTGTAATAAAAAAATTTAACTTTAAACTGATGCTTTAAAAAATAATCGCAAAAATGACCGATACATAGTATGGTACTATTCCATCCGTTAGATGATGTCTTGATATAATCAAAGGAAGAGAAATTTTTTCAGTTTGTTTGTGCCGTTTCAACTTGCGAGCAGGCAACGCATGAAACCTGTGTTAAACCACAAGCGACAATGCGTAGTACACTGTTTTCTTCTCTTCGGCTTGGACATATTTGCGAAAGAGGTTTCTCCGATCTCAGGAATTCAAAAAGTACACCAGATAACCTGCTAGCGGTCATGTTAATGAAGACCGAGAGATGAAAGGAACGTCCCGGATTTTTACAAGACACGCTTCGATATAAAGCTATATGGAGGCGACATCCGAATCTATGATTTCGAGTCGAGGATAGAGCAGGTACGATGATAGAAAGAAGATCAAGAACCCATCTCAAGATAATGCGAAAGCGGCACCAGGATGGTTTGATCTCGGTGTAGGGGCACTGGTTGGCAGTGCGATGTTACTTTGCCCATAAGAGAGAGAAAGAGAGAGAGAGAGAGAGAGAGCAAGAGAGTGAAAGACATATGCAGAGAGAGAAAGAGAGAAAGAGAGTTCGATATCACGTAAACATAGCTTCTTTCATTTTCCTGCTTGCGATTATCGTGACGAAGTGACAAAAATATCGTCAAAAGCTCTTATAACTAATGAGTCCCTTACTTAGGCAATACAATGATAAGTGTTGCCTTAGCATATTTCACTGATGGCTGCAACTTAATGGCATGTAAACTGCCAATGAGAACAGTATGACTTGTTAACGAGAATAACGCGTAATAATGGTACTCGATCACCTTGAAAAGTGAAAACTGAATATCTTTAACTATTAATGAACTTGTGAGACCAAATCTGTTATAGCAATATAAATCTACATCAGTAGTAGTAGTGGCTTAATAGGTTTACAAATGTACTCCACTCATGAAACATGAAATCAAAAACATTTAAAATATTTGTTATAAAAAAAAAAATCTAAAAAAATATTTGCGAGAATTTTGATGAAAATTTTACCAAATCGGTATAGATATGAGAGATAGATAAATTAGGTTATGTTTCTTGCACGAAAATCAGTAGAGAATTTAACTATTCTTACATAATTTGAAATGTTAAGCAAATTATCAAGTATGCAAAGCATATCTGTGTTGATTTCAAATAATTTTTCATATTTAATGGCGATAATTCAAGGTCCGCCGGGACAGTGAACTTAGAGAATATTGTTTGCTTTTGAAAAGTTGTATGGGTTCTCTAAGCTTATATGAAAATTGTTAAACAGAAATGTTTACTGCCCGAGCTCTTCTCAGATGTAATTCTTAGAGGAGGGGAGGATAAAAGAAATCTTTATATATAAGAGAGATATGAGAAGTAATCGTTTTTAAAATGGCTATATATATATATATATATATATATTTATTTATGTATATCCGTTAAATAATATTATCTCTTGCGCTAATAAATATTATTATTTTTATTTTTTTGGAAAGGAATTCATATATTCTGAACTTTGGATCTGAGCATGTGTTTAGAATGGAATTTTTATGAAAGTAATTTTTTTTTTGCATATCGTTTAAAAATATAGATAGATTAGAGTTACAATTTAATTTTATTATTTCATAGATTTCAAGATAAGCAAAATTTTTCCGCAACACCTTTTCGACATTTCGCCTGCAATCTTCGTTGTCATAATCCAGGATCATTGCGGTAAAGTAAATTTCTATTTTATCGAAAAGTCACTTCAGATTTATAAGATGACTTTTAAAAAAAATATATATATTTTAATGGGTCAAAATTTTTATTTATTGTTAACATAACTCGTACTAGCAATATTCAGTTCATCTTCACTCTCGGTACTATCGCTCGTCTCGTTAATGTCACGCGTGCCTATTACTTTCATCTGAACTTGTCGTTGTCGTATCTCACGTATCTCATATTTAGAGATGAGATACGTGAGAAAACATTTTTATGTGATCTTTGTGCCCTCTATGTAAAAAGGTGCGTCTAATAGTCCGAAAAAGTACGGTAGTTAGACGGAAATTTAATGAATACCGCAGACATCTTCTCAATATACTTCATTTCTCTTACATACTTCATTACTTAATATCTTGGAAGCGTAGAACTTTATCCATTTTCGATATATTTCTAAAATGTTATGTCGCTGAAACAGTTGTGTGATATGAGTACGAATTTCTGTTGTTTTTTTTTTTTTTCTTTAATGATCATATTACTATTGCGTGAAAGTCAATTCTTTTGAATTTATTACATAAGCGTTTTACTAGTTCTCGCGTGACTACGGATCAATGGGGCACGAGGAAGCAGTACAAAGTTGGAAAAGGAAAATAGAGCAAAGATTTTGTTTGTTTTTTATTCAAGGGTTATCCGTGTGACATATATACCCGGGATAAACTGCCCCTTCCTCAACTCATTCAAAAATCAATTTTTATTCAAAAATATTTCTCTCTTCTTTCGATTCATTCGCACCCACTAACATCAATAAGGAAAATTCAAAATTTCAAAATTCTTAATTGTCTTATGCGTGATCTGCTTTTAGTGGCAACATGTTAGCTGTGCTATAAAAGGTAATTTGTGCTAATAATGAAGATCTCCAAATCTTTTCTCATCCCTTGTCGATTCTAATGAAACAGGTTGCAAGCAATAATCAATTAATTCATTTTTATTATCTTTACGATATTTAATAAAAGTGTTTAAGCGAAAATCCGTTTCGGATTGGCAAGTACATGTAAATGAAACAAGATAAGGCGAAGACGAAGAAGATTGAAATTCTGATATATTCTGAAATAATATAAATGACATGTGAAAGTCATTCAGTCAGTTTTAGTGTTTGTGAGATAGATTGAATTTTACAAGCTTTAACCGATTTTCGAGATTTCGAATAAGAAAACATTTCAGATCAACTTTGATATAAACTTGCATAGCAATTAACTGTTTTTTGCGGATCACGTCAAATCACGTTTGTTATTGATCGCTTCACGGTCGAGAAAGTCTATATAGACACGATAGGATCGACGATGCATATTACTATATAAGATATAAAAATATGATATGATCTTATGAAGCTTAACAACTTAAGCATTAATTTTTATATAATAAAATTTTTTTTTATTTCAAAAAATTTCAGCAACATCTTGCTAAGCAAATATATACGATTTATATTGTTGTAATAGCGTCGTACCTTAACATTTCATTAGGCTTGATTAGTTAGTTAAATACATATAATAAATATGTGCAATATGTACAATTGATAGGAGGAGGCGATGAGTTTGTTTTTACCGACGCATCGACGCACGCGAACAAACTCGGCTTTGCACTGAGTTCTGTCTTTGCATAAAGTGTAAATAAAACAAATAACTTTTTTCCAACTCTTTACCAAAGCTCAGTTGATTAGCGGCGATCGTTGGTAACAGTTGTTTAAAACGGCAAATAGTCAAATAATATTAACTGTTAACGTGAGAAGAGGTGCTTGCTTATCAAGTATGCTTCTGTATGCGTAGAGTGTGTGTATGTGACAATTATTTCAAATTAAAATTAATTAAATTCAAATAATAATAACAAAGCATTAAAACAAAAACAAAAAAAAAAAAAAAGAAACAAAAAAAATAAATAAATAAATAAAATAAATTAAAATTATTATTTTTTTTTTTTCTTATAACTGAAAAGTTAAATCCAAGTTAAAGCTCTTAATTGATTTTAGAATTTTTCATCATTATTATTATTATTATTATTATTTTTTTTTTATAAGTATTTTCTGTAAAGTCGTTATTTTGCAACATATCTGCTAATGGTATATGTGTTGATGTGTTTGAATGTAAAAAAAAAAAAAAGAAACAGAGAGTAAAAAAAAATCCGGTTGTTAAGCGATCATTATTTTTATGCAATTTATTTTTATGTCGCCTTTTATTTTTACTTTTTACGCTTAACAAAAATTTCAGTTACTTCTGCGTTATCTTCTGAGAAAAACCACAAAAAAAAAAGAAAAATAAAAGAAAAAACTAATTAGAAAAAAAAATCTTTTTTCGACATAGCCAAACTGAAAATATAAAGAACGTTCCAATCGAGTTAAGATTCATGAATATAAAGTAACAAATTTATGTGTCTATGAATGAACTCATCCTAGTTTTTAAGAATCAAAAAAAAAAAAAACTTCTTATCGGAAAGTAAGTAAAAAACTATAAATAGAATGGTTAATATACATATGTACATATATTTATATATATATATATATATATATATATATATATAGGTATATTCTGGTAAATTACACTCAATATTTTTTATTTTGCTTTTTTTCTTCGCTTTTAACCAAAGCTGATGGTATCGCTGATGTTGGTATATTTTACGTTCTGTTCCACAGAATGTCCGGCAGGAAGACCTACACAATTTTATTGCATTGTCTTTATGATAGGTATGGATTTTAATGTTTACTAAATGCCAGTCGTATAGAACACATGTGGTATAGCTCTCAGGTCGAATTTTTTTCATTATCTAACAGAAGAAAACAAAACTTTTAATAAAAGTGAGAAATGTTCACGATGTCACTAAGATTATCCACCGTTTACTGATAAATTGCCAAGAAATTCGCCTTCACAGTGTTCTAGAAAGGCTCACTAAATTTAGCTTAACATTGTTGTGTCGAGTGATCTAATCTAAATGGCTGCAAATAGGATCAATGGAAAAAGTCTAAAATCGATTAAAAATATACGGCTCTCTACGAAATCTTTACTAAGCCTCTTCATCGATCGCAATTGGGAAGAAAATTTTAGCACAACTCGGTGCTATATGTAGCTAATAACATCTAATAGAAATATTGTCACATGAATAGGATTAAAGGTGAATTTGAATTAATCTACAGTGACCGAATGAAGTCTGCATACAGTGCAAGAAAATAAGGTTTCTCTTATTATTAGAAATTACATTTATGGGTTGAAAGTCATAAAATAGATTTCTAAAAAAAAACAAAAAATAATAATTCAAGACTTTTCTCGACTCGAGATAAAATTATACTTTAATCTTAAAAAAAAAAAATTGCGAAAAAATGTGTATCCACATATTATTTCATAGGTGGGTTAAAATACTCAGTTTAAGTTGAGGTGAATTTTCGATTGATTTTACTGATTTCAAGTTCAAGCAACAAGCCGTTACCGTCGAGAAACTTCTTGCGGTTTTTCACTGTAAAATATATATATATATATGTTTTTTGTTTCCTTTTTTCTTTATACATATAAATATAAGGAATAAACTTTATCAAGTTATACATTTGCCATTTTGTACAATAATAAGTTGTCACATTTTTCAAGCAATTTCAATATCTCCTCCTTACAAAAATTTCTAATCTTTGCCGACAGAAAAAAATTTTTTTCTATATGTAAGTTTACACTACCGATCTGAATTAAAAGAATTTAGCAGAGAACGAACGAAAGATATGGTGAGCTGATGGTGCAATGTCACGACTATATGCGGCGGATGTGAGAATACATCTCAGCCAGGGCGAGGGAACAAGTATGATGTCTTGCATTGGCGTGGTGAAAAACAATATTTTTTCGCTTGCCCAATTTTGGACGTTTCTGCTGCAAGACTTCAATTAATTTCATTAATTGTTCATAATATACATCAGAATTAATTGCTTTGTCACGCGTCAGAAACTCACAATACACAATTGCTTCACAATCCCATTGTACTGATAGCCTCCCTTCTCTTTCCACGTGTATTCGGTTTTGCTTTGGTTTGAGATGGCTCACTGTGTTCTGACCTTGATCTTCTTGTGTTGCTCATTTTTGCAAAACAGTCGTCATTTTTCATCATCAGTTACAATTCTCTTCTTCAGAAATGCATCGTTTCGACTTGTGTTAAATGAATTCCTCTTAAACCGTTTTTTACACATCCCAGTCTTTCCAAGCGATCCCTAACAGCTGTTTTAGATGAATGAAATTTTGTGTCCATCATATTTGGGCTACGAGAGCGCGGCTACACCATTCGTTCCACAAATAGCACGTAGGTGCTGCAGCTCTTTTACCTTTTTTGAAGTAAAAAAAAAAGAAAATATCTCTTATCAGGTACTTTCGATGTTCCGTTTTAAAAAACTCCGTCTTACTACTACGGACATAACCTATCACTTTGAAGATAGTTTTGTAAAATAAACATAAGCCTGCCATATATAACTATGTATAACTTTAAGCCTAATTCTCTGTCTAAAAAAAACTTTTCATAGACCTAGGTTTGGTTGAGGTTTCTCTTTATCGGGCAACTTTTAATGATAGCGTGGAAGTTTTGTCGAAAATACCTATTGAAAAAAACTTAATGGAGGCAAAAAGGCTATTTAATCTCGAACATACCAAAGTGGTTCGCCATTATTTTTAATGCCATAATATATGAAAAGGGATAGATGAATGTGGACTTGACGCAGAAAACACTACGAACGGCAATGAGTGGAAATGTAAAAGTAACCAGAAACCGCTTAGCAACTTTTCTAGAATTATGATGGGAACTATTGTTTTTGATGGGTGCAATTAAATTATTTATTTCCAGTTTTTCATTTTTTTTTTAATGTTAAATTTAAGCTTTAGATTATTATAAGTTTGTTTTGGAGATTTTATTTTTCTCTAATTTTATACTTTGTTTATTTGTTTACTTAATTTTCTTCTTCTTCTTTGCATAGAACAACTATTCCGTTCTATTGCAATGGATGAGAAACTTAACCCTAATCTAAAAACTGCTTGCATCGTTTTGTATTGTATGCTTCGTAAAGTACGATAACTCCATAACGAGAACTGCAAATTGTACGCTGATGTACTCTTCTCAAATGTAACAAGCACGAAAATTGTATTCGGTTATGACCGTATACTTTATATCTATCACCGTGATCTTAATAAAAGGCCAAAAGAACTAAATTTTCGAATTGGGTGGGCACGGTTGAGCAAATGGACAGATGGACATGCATAGATGCATTCCGAATTTGAAAGTGGCCAAGACTCTATACATTTTGTGGAGGTTTTCAAGCTTGCTTTTGCGCCTTATAAAAGTATTGTGGAAAACATTTAATTTCGATACGCTATCAGACTAGGGAGTGGTTGTCAATTCCCTCCTATTTGTACAAGCCCAACAGCATGGTCCATTTAGTATAAGTTGAAATTCTTGTAGATTTTTCTGCTGTAGTTTATGAGAAATGACAAAAAACCAATTTTTTATTCCTTTTGGAAAGCAAAGGTGTTCTCACTTTACGCAGTACTGTAGGCGTGTCCTCATTCCGATTTGGATAATTTTCAATGCCAAGCTACGTGCAAGAACTTCCAATGTTGTTTCCAAATTGAGAATCGATGACTTCATTTTTACGATTCAAGAATTTGATGCTGATCAAGATTATATATATATGTATATATTTTGTGGGGTCTCTGAAGCTTCCTTCCGGGCGTTTTGACATAACGAATATACTCCTCATGTTTCGATGATGCGTATAAAAATATTTGTATCAGATATGCATTCAACTCGCGGCCAACGAAAACAGTATTGTAGAGATAACGGGAAAAATGCAAATCTGTGTACCGTCGAATCTGTTTAGTTTTTTTAACGATGCTGATCTAAATTTGAGGCCGTTAGGAACGAAGAATCTAAGAATCGTCCTAGCTCTGTGAGTACAGTTTTACGGTTATAGTACCATAGTAGAGTAAATAAACAGATCGACGGATGGATGAACATAACTGAAACGATCTCTATATTTAAATACTCTACGGAGTTTTTCGTTTTTGACAGTTTTTGACTTTTATACAGCCTACGAAAGGTTGGTAAAATGAAAACAAAAAGCATTCAAATGCACTTTCATTCATTAATCGCGATAGAAGAGTTCGTTCTTCGAATGGTAAGCGTCTTATCTCTCTAAATAAAATTATTTAGATGACAGATGTTTACGGATTGTAATCAATTCGATTCAATCATTTTAATTTAAGATTTTATTTTTAACTGAATGCCAAATTGAAACTACAAATGTTCAAAACAAACGCATTAAGTTGATAGTGTGAAGCGATTTTTTGCAATGCCATGGAACACTGCTTAGTGTTAAAAATGGAAAATTAAGAAAAAACAAAAAACAAGGAAAAAATTGTAAAAATATGAAATATTATTTTTTGTAACTTGAATGCGTTTATGAATGCGTCCTTGCAAGAAAGTGACACATTTGTTTACTAGACACACGCGCTTCTATCCGGGTCACCTCGTTATCGAAAAAGGTAAAAATTACATCAATAAGTTGAAGAAAGCTTTTTTTTTTTGGCCAGTTTCGAAATTTTTGTAAAGAACCTTGGGCCATATATAGCCTCTGCTGCAGATATTAGGTCGAGTCATAAGTAACCACCGTTTTTTTTATCAGACATTTAAATTGCTTTCAGGGAATAACAAAATTATATTAATTTATTATCTGGATGGCTTTCTCTCTTCGTCCTGGCAGATTATCAATTCCTTCCTTGTAAAATGTGGTTGGTTTGGACTGGAAGAAATTTTCGACAGCCTGACTGACTTGGTCTTCAGAATTGAAAGTTTTTGCATTCAAAAAGTTTTGTAAGGACGAGAAAAAGTGGTAGTCTGTTCATGCGATCTTCTTTGCCTCGTTCACTGAGACTGAGGGGTAACTATACTCCTTTCGTTGATTGGCGTGGATTTTGCTCCAATATTGCCTTTAAAAACTTGTTGTTACAGTCGGAAGGATGTCCCGTCCAGAACGGAATTTCACAAACCAATTTCTAACTGCTCGATCAGCTATCAGTCCTTCACCCTATAGACTGCATTTTTTTTCAGCTGTTGCCTCAGCGTTATTGCATTGTTGAAATTCCCAAAGCATTACATGTCGAAGTTTTTAAGTCTCCATATCAGAGGTTGAGAAAAACAGTTGAATGCAACACACACCACATAAAGCAGTTGACAGAAGGCCAACTGAATCCTCATTTATATAGTGAAAATAAAAACTCTTCTGTTTCGGTTACTTATAGAGGGTGAATACGAACAATAGATTCTACCTATCTGCATCGGAATTTACTTATGATTTCACCATATGTTTTAGTCCACCTGCAATATACTTTTTCCATCAGTCTAAGCATTTTTTCTTTGTACTTTCTTTGTTATCATTTAATCTACCTTCGGCTTCCGGCAATTTTGCGGACGATGCTAGTCATTCCTTTACCTTATTTTTAGTCTAAAGGTCAGGCTTTTATTCATATTACGTATTTTTACAGTTCTTGTTCTAGTCCATTGATTCTTCCAAAGGATGAACTTTATCTTAACATTTGATGTGTCACTTTTGGCACACAAGATATTCGATTCAGAAATGAGAAGAGAAAGTAAGTCGAAGTAATGGTACAACGACAATGAAAAACTTGTCGCATAGATTAAACGGATCAAGCTTTGTTTGTTTCAATCTAA